ACAAACTTAAAAAAAGCTTTTTAAACATTGTAACTTAGAAAAAAAATTTAAAGCAGTTGTGAAAAATAAAATAGGTAATAAGTTGCATGCCATTTCCAGCTAAAACCAAAATTCATTTTGCTTACATTATCATAAAACTAATTGTTCACTCAGATCTACTCTTAGCCAAATCCTAGCACCAGTAATCCAGTAATTCTAACAGGGACCTAGGTGTACTGATTAGGGATCGTCCATAAAGAACGTACGCTCGGAGAGGAAGAGGAGGTCTGGAAAAGGCATTTCTAAGATAAGGGGGCAGTAGGTCAATTATAAAAGTAGGGTGACACTACATTAAAAAAATAGCATAAAATGTTAGGTTAGTAGGTTAAAAGCGTAGGTACTTTTAGGGAGGCAGAGAGTACTCAAAAAAGCGTACGAGAAATTGCGAGGGGGGGGGGAGAAAAAAAAAGCGTACGCACTTTATAGACGACCACTTATGAACATTAATTTCCATTGGTCAAAATAAAAGTTAAATTATTTATTAATTTTTATGGTTTAAAGAAAATAGCTATTAAACTTGCATCTACTTGCAAGTCAAGCAAGAAAACAAGCCTCTTAGAATCATAACAAGCTTGAATTTAAAAAAATCGTTTTCCTTCGTAAAACAATTAAAAATTAACATATTTCAACTTCGATATAATTAATTGCAATTAGCCGTTTCAAGTTCTAAGTCCTTTTTTCATCATTAAAGCTTGGATTTAGTGACTTTATTTGCTAATGCACTCTGAACTTTTTTTATTGTTATTCGTGTCAATTTATTTGTCAAATCAAGTAATGAAATGTTTTGCGGTCGTGTGATTTTGTAGTGTCTTAGGTACTGTCATTAAAATATAAGTTTGCAATTAAAGTACTAAATGAAGAAAAAATTATTATAACAAGTTCATCTAAAATATGAAAAACGGTTTTCCAAAACTGGTTAAATCACATTTTTATTGTTGTGAGTAAAACACAAAAAACAGATTTTTCTAATAACAATAATTTTGTAGTCGTAAATAAAGATGATGAAGAAATTTTTTATTAATACTAGCACTGTTAGATTTGTACGTTTATCAATAAAAAATTCAAATGTTGAAAATACTCAATTTTTGGAAAAATAAACTAAACAAGTTTGGGAAAACCACTCTTCATATGGAAAAGTTTAAACAAATTTAAAAAAGTAATAAACAATTTAAGCCATGTGATTTTTAAGCTCCCCTTAATCAAATTATAAATTTCAAGCAATAAAAATAGAGTAAAATAAGAATACTTTGATTTTTGATTGTGGTTTTTAAACTTTTGGGAACAAGTTTTAACTTAGAAAAGTACAAATAAGCTTAAAAAAATATTGATATCCTTTATCTTGTACAAAAGATATGACATAAAAAAATCATGTGGTTTTTAGAGCCGGTCTGCCTGTACATTGTAAAACATATCAAATGAATTTCAAAATTCTCTAGTAGCTATTTTGAAAAAAAACAACAAAAAAGTTTTATCTCCAATTTTATCTAATCGAAATGAAAAATTATTCATTAAATTTAAAAATGGTAGGGCAAAACTAAGATCGAAAAAGTATACTAAATAATTTAAAAAACAAAAAATAGTCTCGAAAATTGTATAGAATGGAATAATCTCAGGTAAAATATTAGTTTGCTGGAATAATCCTAATTAAACTGTTTGATGGAGAGTCACCTGGAATTTTTATGATGATAATGCATTGTTTTCATTTCCTCTCTCGCATCTGAGATGCGTTAGATCACCTTAAAACATTGTTTTGTAAACCCTTGGTATTTATCAAGTATATGATACCAAGTCATTATTCTATCTTTATTATAAATAGTTATCAAAAAATTTGAATAAAGATAGTTTTCTAAAATCATTGACGATAAGTTTTGTTAGATATTTTTTGTTTATACCTTTCATTTTCCACTTTCCTCCTTCCTCCTCCATGGGAATCTATTCTTCCTCTATGAGAATGGCACAGTACTATTTTTCAAAACCATTAGGTATTTTACCCATCAAGTCTACGGTTTATTGTTTTACGATCTTTGATGAGTAAGATTTGTTTTGTTTTAATTATTTTTTTAATTAATTATAATTTATGTATTCTTAAATTTTTTTTACACAATTGAAAAGCGAATTAAAACTGTTAGCCCTTGCTTTTTTAAGATTTTAGGCATTAAAGCTTGGGTTTAGTAATTTCATTTCCAAATGCACTCTAAAATTTGTTTTTATTTGTATTAATGTTAAATTATTTGTATACTTGAAATGAAATACTACGTTCATATGATTTTTGTGCTTCCATAAAATATAAGTTTACAATCAAAGCAATATATGAAGATAAATTTATCATAACTAGCTCATCTAAAATATGGAAAAGTTTCAAGAAATTTCAAAAATTAATAAACAATTTAAGCAATGTGATTTCAAAGGTTCCCTAATAAAATATACATAAACTTCAAGTAAAAAAAAAAAGTGTAAAACACAAACACCTCGTTTTGGGAATTATTTTAAACTTAGAAAAGTACAAAATAATTCAAAAAAAAATCATGCGGTTTTTAAAGCCCGTTTACCGGTACATGAAATAGGGTAGATAATGAATAATAACCTACCTGGTACTTTTGATTTTTTTAAAGCCATTTCTAAAATATTAAACAATTAAATCTTCTGTAACATTGCCTTATTTGTGTAGTTACTCGTCAATTATGTTGATATCAATATGCTTTCAATCGTCAATCATGCTGATATCAATATGCTTAGAATCTGCTGTGAAATTTCTAATTAGGAAGAAATCTAGAAGTAGTAGATATTTTTTTAATGTTTTGTCACTCATTTAAAGAGTGTTAGCGCTGTTGACAAGCAGTTGGTCAAGAAATAGCACATATAAGTTCTTGTACTGTTCAAAACGCAAACTTTGCACTTTGGCTAGTTCCTTGTACAACAAAGCTAATGTTTCTGATGTGAACAAAACAAATTTTGCTTTATAAAAAGATGGAGAATCAAACGCTATTTTATGGCAAAAAAGAAGTGACTGTCTTTAAAAAAATAAAGAGTACTGTTAAAGTTTCAGTTCCAATCCTATTACTGCAATGGGAACTAGCTGATTTAAATTTACTTTTAGGATTGAATTTTTCTACTGTTCTAAAACTAGGGAGTTTGATGTATAAAGTAAATGGCATGGAAACATTTAACGTTTGCTTACTTTTTACAATCAATTTGTTGGGTTTGTTGATCATATTATTAAAATACATAACCTTCCTTAAAATGACGTCCGTTCTCCACAGCAATTTGTTGAGAAACTTTGAGTAGTAAGCTTAGAAGCATTCGCATTAACATTTTGGAGTTGCAATTTTAACTTTTATATACATTATAAGTAATATATATAAAATTATATAATATATAATAAATTATATATATAATATTAACTTTGTGATAGCAAATCCGATTATCAGAAAAAATTTCTTTAAACATTTTTCAAATCTAAACAGACAACTCTATCGCATTTTTTCTTTTATTTTTTTAGTTTTCTTATTTATTTGTTACACACTAGCATCAGAAACTTTAAATCTTTATGATTACTTGGTTTTTAAAAATATTTTAGCATTAACGAGATTTTTTTACTTCAGCTTTTTTACGTAGTGAAATCTCTTACCACTAAAAACGTTTACCACTAATAAAAACGTTTCAATCAATTGTTTAAACGCTGCACACGAAATAAACATGTAACCAGAAGCAAAAACAAAGGCAAACACCTCCCCTTCCCCAAAGAAGATGATTTTTAAGTTATAGTCGGGTTTTTTTAAGAATTTATTAGGCTAGTCGGGTATCTGACACATTGCAGTCGGGTAAGTTTTTGTTTTGAGGACCTTTTTTTTTTTATAATCAGTCGATACTTTTTAAAGATTCATCTCCCTCATTTTATTTGTAGAATTGCGTCTGCATGTAACTGCGTAGTATAAAATTATGAAATAAATAAACACAGCGCAGAAAGCCTCCAAAACACCTCCTCAACTCGATGGTTAAGAGCACAAAGGGAATATGTCCAACATTAAACATTAGGTAAACATTAAACAAATTAGGTATTAAAGTATGTAAAAGAAATGAAAATAAAATAGTAAAAAACAAGACAGAATTAATTGAGGAATGCATTTGGTTAAAAATCATGACAATAAATAAATATCATGAACTATTGTATGCTTTCAAACTTTCAAATTCAGATTTCTCAAAACAATGGTTAGTGTACGTATTCCCTTTGTGCTCTTAACCATCGAACTGACGCACGAGAAAACGCGACTGAAACCAGAGTGTACTTGTTTACACTTTTTGTATCGATTGGTGTAATTCCATACGTTAAAAACAAATACAGAAAGAAAGCACACAAAAATTTTTTGAAATAAAACCCATTACATGTATGCTTAAATTTAAAAGTATTACATGAACTCTTGTGCAAAACATGTAATTATTACAACTACAGTACGTCAAATAATTTTGAAAGCAACTGTAAATAAATAAAAAATATGCTTGTACTTTAAATGAAAAATATATTTTTATTTAATTGGAAAAAAAATAATCCAAGGTATGACTAATTTATTTTTATTTTGTTTATTATTTTGTTTATTATATTATAGTATACAACAAATTAAAAACAATAACAACAACAAAACAACAATAACAACAACAATAACAACGCGACCTTTTTTTGTATCTAAGCGTAACTTTCATATAAAAACAATTAGTTACGTTGAAATTTTTGTGAAAACTTATAATCTTATTTTCTATTCTTCACAATCAAAATATAAGGAAAGCATAATTAGGTATGCTTGAAAGCATACCTGTCTTTAAAATAAACAACTTGAAAAATGAATTTATTTTGAATTTTACTTGATCGAAATGAAGTCATTCACTAATCTCGAAAAATTGGACAGAACTAAGATCCAAAAAATATAAAACAAAAATTAAAAACTAAATCTGAAGCAAAAAATTAACTTTACCACTTTTGAACTTCATATCTGATAAAATTCCTAAAATACAAAAATTGTAATTAACATTATTAAATATAAAAATAAAAAAAGTTGTACTTTATTCGTGTTTTAAGCACAAATAACAAATATAAATATGTCTAACAATATTGTTTATTATTTATACATATTTGTTTTTGTTTTTTTGAAAATTTTTTTATCATATCTATTAATTTGAATAAATTGAATAGAAAAGAGTTTTAACTTCGAAATAAATATTTTATTACCGTGTCTCATATTAATGATGTTGATGTCTTTTCTTTCGTGATTCTTTACTATCGCATTCTTTGCTAAAAAGGAATTTGAATGAAAGTTTTCATAAAAAAATTCGAAATTTAAAATAAATTTGATAGTTTCAAAATGACAAGAGTTTGCCTAAATGAATTCTTATTAAAAACAATGCAATTTTTATAAAATATTGCAAATATTTTAGAACTAAATATTTTGAATGTTTAAATAATGAAAATCTTCGGAAAATTTTTTAAATTATTTTTAACTTAAGTTAAAAAAATTGTGCCGGGAAAACCAGGGTTAGTAAGAACGTTTTTTTTTTAATCTTTAAAAACCACAACCAAAGGCTTGTGGTCAAAATTAGTAAAGAACAAAATCGACTGTCAACGAAGGTTGGGAGCCTTAAAGTTAAATAACTGAAAACATATGCTAAATAATAAAATCGTTGATTTAAACTCTGATTTAGCTTGCCAGTATGGATAATTACGAAATAAAAAATATATTTTATATTTTATGAGTGATAATGAAAAGAATAAGTGTTATTCGTTAACAGTGGATTTTGTTCTTTATCAATTTTGACCACAAGCCTTTGGTTGTGGTTTTTAAAAGTACAAAAAAAAAAAAAACGTTTTAACTAACCCTGGTTTCCCCGATATAATTTTTGTTTAACTTAAGTTAAAAGTATTTAACAAAATTACTTTAAAACTTAAACGTTCCAAGAAGTGCATAATCATATAAAAGTAACAACAATAATGATATAAAAAGCATAATGATATAAAATGTATTGCATAATGATATAAAAAGTAACAACAACAAACCCCAATCAAAATGTTTTAACAAACCCCTATTTAAACTAGTGCACTTTAAAATGATTTATTTAAGGCATCCAATGTAAAAAACTTTATAAAAAGTAAGCATTTAAAAAAAGATCAAAAATAAAAACTACTTAGGTATTTTCATATTATTTTATTATCTTTATAACACAAAATTACTGTTAATAATACAAAAATTAAAAAAGTTACTTTCATGTGTACAATTCTCTAAAGTTTTGAGCAACAACAAAAAACTTGTTTGTACTAATATACTGCTTTTTAGTCGATAGTTTGAACTAACCCCGTGTTCAAACTAACCTCCGTCTCCCCTCTCATAAACATAAAAAATCATGTCTTTTCTCATGTTTTCTGACAAAACTAATTTATTTTAACATGTCCATATTACATCGAGTTTTAAAGGTTAAACGGTAATCACGCAAGTTAAAGGTAATCACTTAAAAATGTTCTCATAAGCAATATCTTTAAGCTTACTCTTTAAAATTATTTAAATAATCAAAGCAATTATTCAGAACGAGCAGTTTTTAGAATTTTTATTTTTTTTATGATAATGTTTATTTTTTACTTTCAGTTTATAAAGTCAATAAAATCTTTTTGAGGTCTTTCTTTTTGAGGTCTTCGTGAAGAGATAACTGCAACTAAATTAATTCATTAGAAAAAAATTTTTTTTAATAAAGCTATGATAAATAGTCAAGGATGAAAGATGAAATAATAAATTAAAAGATAGTGATAGAAAATGGAATCATAGATAAAAATACGACTAGAACAAAAAAGTTATTCTAACCATATGAAAGGTGAGATTTTTTTTATTTAAGACCGGAGTTTTTCATCGGAAAATAACTCCATTTAAAAGATTTTTTTATTTAGAGTGGATTTTTTCATAGGAAAATAAAACCACTTAAACAGTGAAATTTTTAAGAAAAGAGTTTTATTTTATGGAAAAAAACATCATTCTAGTTTATAGTAAAAATAAATTTAGTCTTGCCAAATATTAACTTAAAACTTTGGTCAATTACAAATTTGAATAACTTCATTTTTATTTTAAATAATTTTTTTTGGAATATATATATATATATATATATATATATATATATATATATATATATATATATATATATAATTTAATATTATTACAATGAAAAAAACAATTGACATTTAATGAGGACGAAAAATTTTGATATAATGCTTCCATTAGTGTACCCATTAGTAGGTCTGATTTTGAAAGGATATAAATTTTATAAAAATGTCTTAACATTTATAAAATACTTTCACCATTCAATTATGTTGATTTTTTTTCTTCCAAGATTATCGAGTCTTTATATTTTTAAATCCTTTTTTTTTATAATTTTTTTTTTTAATAAGTCTTTTTAAAGTTTTTTAAAGCAATCTTTGTTAGTCATAAATAAATTTATTCTTCTCAAAATAAAGGTTGTGTTTCTCGCTTTATGTATCGAAATTATCCATCATTGAAATTATTATATCCTTTTTTTATTTCTTTATTCAAATAAGAATTATTTATTACTTTATTAATAACTAAACTTTTTTAGTACTAATCGAGAACAATATTTAGATTATGGTTTTATGCTATATGGTTTTATATCACAATAATATTCTGTTTTAAACAACATATAACACAATCTTGCACAATATCTTGCACAATATCTTGCACGTTAATTTCTGTCTGCACTGTTGTTGTTTATTTATTATTTAGCAAGCAATTACTCTCGAGTCCTTAATACAAGGGGTTTAGTAATAAAGGGGAGGGGGTTAATAAAAGGGGAAGGGGCGAGTTTTTTATGTTACAATATAAGTATTTTTTGTAAATAATTTCAGTTTATAAATCCAGAACAACATAAACTATTTAAATCTAACGTGGCTTGCAGTAAATTGCGTTTTCTAACAGCTGTTTTATAATAATTTCGATAGGATTTATTATATTGATATAAGTTTTATACTTTGATGAGAAATAAATTAAAAGCTCATTTCCGATAAATCGAGATTTACTTGGTCGGTGGTTTTTAAAGCCTAATGAAATTTTTTTTTTTTTATTAGTGACTGAAATAACTATTTTTTAATTTGCAAGGCCGAATTACACTGATTTTTTTTTTTTTTTTTTTTTTTTTTTTATAACAAGTAAAAGTTAATAAATAAGGGGTCTTAATTAGCTTGGGGTGGGTGGGAATATTTTTTAAAAATAATAAACGTCCCCTTTTTATTAGGGATTTGAGAGTAAAGATGTTACAAACAAACACGAATTTTAAAAATGAAAATTCAGAAAAGTATCAAAGTATATAATTGAACTCTTTAAGCGCATTCAAAGCGCTTGAAGAGTTCAATCTGTTGGTTATTATATATTGGCTTTTGTTAGAGAAAAATAAATGAGATACAGTGTACGCCATAATTCTAAACTGTGGCTGCGAAATGTTTCTTGAGTTGCCCTAGCATTTTATTTGCTATTGATACGGCAGACTCAGTTTGTCACTTGCACTTGCACTTGCGTCAGAAACGTAAGATCCGCGGTTTAAACCCCACCTCTGGGCAAGTTTTGCGACATCGGTTGGGAAGGAGGCGTTAAATTTCGATTAAATACTCTTCCGCGGTTCTCTGTGATAAGACCGCAAGGACTTCTTAGGGCACCTAAAAAAAAAAAAAAAAAAGTTTGTAATCTGACTTTAAGATCATTGGAGATTATCACACCAAGGTCTGCAGACTTTTCGAGTTGACGACGTGTGTCGTCAACATTTGCGATTGAGTATTCGTGCGTTGACTTGTTGCATGCGCGGCCAACATGCATTACTTTGCATCTTTCAATACTAAAATACATGACCTATGTATGTGACCATTACACTGCTTAGTTGATGACAGTTTAGAGAGTTATGCTGTCCGACTCATTCTTGATTATGTCTATAATTTTACTGTCGACGGCATTCAGTTTCATATGATGAATGATGCTGTCCGGCAGATCACTTATAAACATCACAAAGAACAATAGACCCAAGACCAAGCCTTGAGACACGCCACTATTGGTGGCTTTCAATTCAGATGTAACATAAATTTATGACCATTTTTTGACTTCGGTAGTGTAGCCGGTGCTGAAACCGATGTCTGATATTAAATTTTGTTGAGCAAAACTTTTTTTGTATTTGTATAACTTTTTATTGTAATTTACTCATTGACTGCTAATGTAACATTTTGTTCAATTCATTTTACTAAATATAATAAAATGAATAAAACGTAAATGTTGTGATTGCCGCTTATTAAATATATATTTTTATAGATCAAATCAAAAGTAATCATCAAATAAAGTAAAAAACTTTTATAAATTAATATTAACTATTTTCACATATATAATTATTTGTAATTGCTTTATATTTATTTTATAAATTAAAGTTCTATAGTATAGGAAGAAAAATAAATTTTGCTAATATATAAATTATCAATGTTATTATTATTTATTATTATTAAATTTTTCTATTACCTTTGAAGATTCTCTTCATTTTTAGTTTCTTCTGAATACTTAACCCATACACACAAACTAGCATCATCGCTAATATATGTAGCTTCATTTTAACTTTGACTATGTATACTAATAATAATAATAATAACAATTATATATATAAATTAACCTTATATCAATATTAAAACATTTAAAAACTTTCAAATTTTGATAAAATCAAAATGTTTAAAGCATTATGTAGATAGATGTATTTTCTATATGATTTAATATATATATATATATATATATATATATATATATATATATATATATATATATATATATATATATATATATATATATATATATATATACATATATATATATATATATATATATATATATATATATATATATATATATATATATATATACATATATATATATATATATATATATATTAAATCATATAGAAAATACATCTATCTACATAATGCTTTAAACATTTTGATTTTATCAAAATTTGAAAGTTTTTAAATGTTTTAATATTGATATAAGGTTAATTTTAATCACATAGGGAGTCATTACTTTACCACATGCGGAGTTTTTTTTATGTGCAACACAAAAAGTTTTATAGATATCATTTTATACCAACCTGCACTTTGTTGTAAAATCAAAAATAATTCGGAAATATAATTCGGAAAACTATTTTCATAATGCTATAGTTAAAAGGTTTAGTTAATAAGTAGACCTAAAGGAATCTATTATTCGAAACAATAAAGCAGAAGCAAAAAAATTTACGATTAAAAGAATGTTAACCACTTGAACATGCTTCAAAATTTCCTGTGTTTTTTTAAATTACTTAGGGATCGGCCATAAACTACGACACGCAAATTATTTGCATAAGTTAGCAAAGTACACTTTGATAACTTATACAAATTATAAAAATCTACTTTACTTTAAGCTTCATCTGATAATATTAATACGCTAAATTCAATAGTAGTTAATAGTCGACTTTCGTCATTTTCTAGACTTTTCTATTTTAAAGTAGTTTCAAGGCTTTTCTATACGCGATTTTTTTTTTTTAATTTCATTTACTAACAACCCGTATTACGGGTTACTTACTGCCAGTTCAACATTATTACACAGAGCCGACGACTGGGGGGGGGGGGGAGTCGGACACTCTACTTTTTTACTAAAGGATCTTTTTTTTTTTTTTTTTTTTTTTTGCAAGAAAAATCTAGATATAGAGGACCTTTTCTAAAAATTGACGATTGTGCCTCTCCACATTGAAACCCGTGTCGTCGGCCCTGTTACATTTTATACAAGTATAATAATCGGCCCTGTTACATTTTATATAACTTGAATTAATCAACGCATCACTTTGTTCTAATCAAGGCAATATTTTTTCTAAGTTGAAACAGATTTTTTATATATAAATATACTTTAAAGCAATAAAAATTATTTAAAAAAAATAATTTTGACTGATTAGACACATTAAAAATAATTTGTTATTTTAAAAATACTTTAGATTACAGCGTAAAACCAAAAATTAGATTCTTAAAAAATATTTTATATACAAATATACATCGTTTTTTTTTTCTATGCGAAATTATTCAGCAAAAATTATATATATATATATATATATATATATATATATATATATATATATATATATATATATATATATATATATATATATATATATATATATATATATATATATATATATATATATATATATATATATATATATATATATATATATATATATATATATATATATTTATATATTTATATATATTCATATATATATATATATATATATATATATATATATATATATATATATATATATATATATATATATATATATATATATATATATATATATATATATATAATTGCTTTTTCAAAAAAAGTTTAAACTAGGTGATGTATAACTTAGCATAACTTAAAAAGTTGAGTGGTTTTACGCTTAAACGTATATGCTTTTTTATACAAGTTTACTATTTGTATAAAGGTATTTTGTCTTTTTTAAATCTGTACTTTTTTTGTTAAATAATTTATAATAAATAGTTAGATAGTGTTATGCTACCACGAGAAATCACGTGATTTCTCGAAAGATTCAAAGTTTAAAGCCAATTAACTCAGTTATGTGTTCACATGTGATCACATGTGAACACATAACTGAGTTAATTGGCTTTAAACTTTGAATCTTTTGTGATACAATACTTTCTGTATTGTATCACAAAAGATTCAAATGTGTAGATTAATTATAATTAATCTACACATTTTTTGAATCTTTTGTGATACTATACAAAAAGTATTGTATCACAAAAGATTCAAAGTTTAAAGTCAATTAACTCAGTTATGTGTTCATATGTGATAACGTGTTCATTTGTGATATGTGTTCATTGTGATATGTGTTCATATGTGATATGTGTTCATATGTGAAATGTGTTCATATGTGATAGAAAACGACTATATAAAGTAAAAGTATAAAAATGCTCGACTTACCATGACCCGCATTATACGGGTCATGGTCAGGCCATTATTCCACAGTTTTTAAATGTTTATTTCCACATGGTTTTTAAACATTTTATACTTATTGTAATTACAATAAGTATATGTCTTTTTAATGTGTGTTAAACGAGCAGACTTAACTAGTTACCTTAACACATTAATAACTTAAGTATCTCTATCACGACATATAAGCAACAAATTTCCCGGTGTTTTAATATTTTTGAAATTTTAGGCTTTTTAAAAAAAAGCCTAAAATTCTATTTCTATCGTTTGTTATAGTATATAATATCTTTATATATGTTATATGCTAAAAAAGAAAAAAAAAATGAATGAGCTAGCGAAAGGATTTGAACCCACGCCATGTTCTTTAGAAGCGAAACGAACTAAACACTTTGACCACAAAGGCATACGATTCTGATAATTTTTAACAGTATTAAATAAGCAAACGAGAAATAAATGCTATAAATTAAAACTAAGGAGATATTGGCGTAATGCAATTTTCAAATAAAAGTAAAACTTGATATATTTTTAACATTACATAATTTGACATTTTCTCATAAAAAGCTATTTTTATAAGAAAATGTCCTGAGTTAATGTCGAGAAAATGTTGCAACTCTATCTCGCCATTAACTCGGGTTAATTAGTTGCGGCAAATTCTGTGCAAACGCGCTCGAATAAGCATTAATTCGAATAAGCATTAAGTTGCTCAATATATATTATGTTTGGTGTCTCCTCAGATGTCTAGCCTATAGAATTTAAGTATTTATTTTCTTCATTTTCAGTTGTTTTAAAACTCTTTTGCCATACACACAAACTAGAATCATTGCAAGTACATGTAGCGTCATTTTAACTTTGATTATGTACATATCAGCATTTTATGTATCGGTATATTGGTATGTACAAATCGGTATTTTGAGTATTTATCTCAATCTAATAATTCTTTACATAATAATAAAACTGTAAATCTTCAATTTTAGATTGGACAAGCAAAAATAAAAATTCTGGTGTCATGGAATCAATGAAATCATATACAATGTACATTTATTATGTTTTAAACAAGTTTGATACAAGATTATTTATCACATAGGGAGTTATTATTTTACTTCACGTAGAGTTATTTCTATGTGATACAAAAAATTTCATACTTGTTAAAGGATCTAAATAATTAGCTTGTATTACAAATGTATTATATCATAAATGAATCAGTTTGTGCTAAAAGGATCTCAGTAAAAAATATACAAAATTAAGATTAAACAGTGTTTAGCACCTGCGGTCTAAATTTATAGCTTCGCGCTAATATGTGATCAATCTGACACTCGGTATGAACAGAAACCCGTGTGTGAAATGTAATTCATGCTTAAAAATGACAAGTCACTGACTAAGCTCCTTCGAGCATAAATCTCAGCAGCGAATTTCCTCAACAACAAAAATTTTGTCAAATATTTCCGAAAGAGTCAACCAGTAGTCAGCTGTTTTGACAAGGCACCAACATACAGTGGGCCAGAATTTACTTTTACTCAACAAAATTACTAACTCATCTTGAATATAAGATTTTAAGGAACAATTTTGGTCTCTACACTAACTTAAGGATTTTAATTCCAACAGTGACCTTAAATTTAGTTTTTAGTTACTATAGAAACCTATATTTCGTACATAAGAATATATAAATATTCCTATCTACAAATATATATATATATATATATATATATATATATATATATATATATATATATATATATATATATATATATATATATATATATATATACGCAGTGACCTAGAAGGTTTAATAAAGTTAGGGGAGGCTGAAACAGAAATTAAAGAGGCCTAATGCAGCTAAAATTAAAAAAAAATTGAAATTTTGAGTTATTTTCGAATGCGGGGCAACGCTCACTCCACAACCTGTCTCTATGCCAGTGTTTATATATATTTATATTTATAACTTCGACTTTGGTTTAAATGCGACTTTTCGTTGTTTAATCTAGAAATAGAGAGAATAAAAATAGAGAGCTAAGCCTTTCGCTTATCAGAAATAGAGGTTGACTATTTATATTTTGATATGTAAAACTTTGTAAAATATTTGGTTCCATTACAAAGTTTAATTGACCTGTAAGTTTTTTTTAACCGTTGTCAGTTCTTACTAAATCTTGCGAATAATTTATCACTACATTTTAGACTAGCTACAGATTGAAAACTGTCAGGGCTTATGTGGTCCTGGTGAGTTTATATAAAAAATTGTTCCCGAGCTGTATTTTCGTTCTTTCAACATTTCTATAGTCCCAATTATGTTCGAGTGCTGCATTTGAAAACATTTTCGAGGTCTGACAACACAAGAGGGAGCAAGTGCCATACCCACTTTCTCACTCTAACCTTTTTTTTTTATGAAGGAAAACATTTTTGAAAAAATCTTGAAAAATGTTTACTTACTTGTTGTTATTGAGGTAATAAAAGCAAAAGCTCATACCGTAAAACGGGGTAAATAGAAACAGTGGGGTGAATAGAAGCAAAACTTCATTTTTGTATATATAATCTATTTACTACATAACTATGAGTAAATAATGGCAACTAATAATTTTTTTAGGTTGCTACACTTTAGCCTGAAAGGGAAATAATGGTTTGCTTATTTAGCAGCATTGGTTCTTGTTTGTTTTTCATGTTGAATTTTACCGCGCAATTCTTGTTTTTTTTTTTATTCACTTTGAACTTTCTAGGTAAGTCGGAATACTCAGTGTTCTTGAAAGTAAATAGCTGTACAAAACATAGTTTAATTGTTCATATAAAAGAGTTAGGCTAACTTTAAGCTTTAACTGTAACAATATTATTTTAATAATTATTCGAATTTTTTAGGTTAGGTTTTCAGAATTGACGGGGTGAATAGAAACATATAATTTCTAGTGTTTCTTTACACCCCGCAATAAAAAAGTCATTCTAAATCACGTTTATATTGTATAAAATACATACTGTATGCTATATATTTATGTTAGACACTTAACTGACACAGCCGTTTTATTTCAGAACCCTGTAAAATGCCAAGGAAGTACAAACGCGTGGTTGGAGGTGGCTACAAAAAGCACAATCCAAAAACAATCAAAAGAGCAATTTCTGACATACAGAATGGATTAAGCTTTCGAAAGTCTGCTGAAAAACATGGTTTGCATTATAGTGTTCTTTATCGACACTTGAAAAGA